GGCTCTGGGGCGACCTTATTGTGGCCTTCCAGTTCCTGAAGGGGTCCTGCAGGAAAGCTGGGGAAGGAGTTTTTACAAGGGCAGGTAGCAATAGAAAGAGGGGGAATGGTTTTAAATTGGAAGAAGGTAGATTTAGACTAGAAATTAGGAAGAAATTCTTTACTGTGAGGGTGGTGAGACACTGGCACAGGTTGCCCAGGGAAGTTGTGGATGCCCCCGCTCTGAAAGTGTGCAAGGCCAGGTTGGACAGGGTTTTGGGCAACCTGGTCTGGTGGGAGGTGTCCCTGTCCATGGCAGGGAGGTTGGACTGGATGAGCTTTAAGGTCCCTTTCAGTCCAAACCATTCTGTGATTCTATGATTCTGTCTTTGTTCTGAAAGACATTTCCCCCCTCCCAAAATTATTTTTATTGCTATCGTAACTGTTTTTAAATTTGAGATATTATCTTTTGCTTAGGTGCCCAATAGTCATACAGTATTCTGGATTCTCCACAGCATATCTAAGCACATCTGTTGTATCTGGTTTGGGTGAATTCTTACCTAATTGATTAATATAATTTTATTTTTTTAATCATATAATTGATGTGTCTTTAATTTTTGCAAAGGAGCAGGCTCTGATAATCTTTTCACCAATTGTAATATGAACTAGGCATATGCCTTGTAAGTTTTTAGACTGCTTTACTTTCATAATATTAAAGCAATTATATTCCACTATGTACAAAAAGCCACAAGGGGAAAATCTAAGTAATTACCAAGTCTAATTATACACATTTGTGGCTCAGTATTGAAGTTTCTTAAAATAATTTTGTGATGTTACCCCAAACATGAATTTGTTGCTTCTGAAATTCAGCATTTATTTAAAGAAAAAAAAAAAAACAAAAAAAACCCAGCATTAAAATTGCACTGAAAAGAGCAAGAGACTATATGGCCAGTAGCTATTAATAGCTGCTAATGTTTGCAGATTTAGAGGTTATTAATTTCTTTTTTCTTTGAGTCCCATCCAGAACAGTTAATGCTGTTTGTTGTAAGCACGTCCTTGTGAGGATCTCTTTCTGTAATTGAGAGGTGCTTTGGTAAACAGTTTGTGGTATCATCTGTCCCTCTCCAAAGTGTTTCATGGTTCTGGTAAGAAGACAGAGCAGCTTGACGTTCCTGCTGCGGTCGCTGATGAAGGGAGCTTTACTCAAAACTGCAGTCACCCTGCAACGTCTTTGTGGCAAGAAAACCCAATTTGAGAGACTCTTGCCAATATCTTTAAATTCTCTCATATTTGAGATTTAATACTTATCATTTTCTAGCTACAGGAAAATTGTTCTGCAGAACTTGAAGCTATTCAGGTTGGGAAGTTCTGAGCCGTTTAATTTTAACACTGTAGGATTTAGTGTACAAGTGACAGAGAGATGCTTCTGTTTCATTTCTTGTCCATGGGAAACAGGCTCTTCAAACGTTTTCCAATTAGAACAATCAGCTCATCAAGGGAAACAAACCAGCATTGGGCTTGCATCCAGTTCCTCCTAAGGCATTTTGCATCAGAGAAGATTAGTTCTGTGGCATCATCTTAAGGTTGAGGATTCAGCAGGGAGTTGGAAGTACACGGGGCAGGGATGAAGCAGAAGAGGGGAAAGAAAAAGACCAGAACAGCAGTGATTAATTATGACTGCTCACAAAAGTAGAGAGGCGTATTTTTGGAGGTCAGTCTTCACCTCAAGTACACGATGCTGTCTTTTGTCAGACACCTCTGGCAGTGAAAAGCCGACCTACAGAAAAATGAGTCGGTGAGGCTGCAGTCTCATGTTGTGCTCTGGCTTCAGAAGCCGGCGCTGCTATCTGGGAACAAAGTGTAGTCATAACTCTGGGGAGAGCACTAATTCAGCACTGTCCCTCTTAGCGGGGATCTGCTTTCACTGAATGTTTTTCCTTTCAGAACATGAGTCACCTGCAAAGCAGGGTGAGCATCCCTCACGCTTTCTTCCCTTGCAGTGTGGAGGGTCAGATTTATATAGCGAGGGATGAATTACTCTTTTGGGTCAGTTCAGCCCAAACTAAGCTGTCATGGCAACAGTACAAAAGCTTAGCTAGCTTAGCCACAGGACAGCTACTAATAGGAGTACAATTTAGCTTCAGTAGATAATCTATAATATTTTAATTTAAAGTGGTTTTAAACTTTTTGATGATGTACTTGGTTTTCAAATTCAGGAGAGGAAATCAATTCTGTCTTCTCCTTCAACAGCATAGAATGTTTTCAGTGTTACCTAATGCTTGTGGTTCCTCTGTATTGAGATGCAGTACTTTGATGCACTCTTCTAAGAGGCTAAACTGGGCTTGAACTCTTGCTCTACATTTGGTGTGCTGTTTTCAGTAAGCTCTGAACAAATCAATGCAATAGACAACTACAAATACAAAATAGCTCGAAGTGCCACCATTAGGTCTTTTTCATTAGGTCTATTTCTGAAGGTGACACCTGATAAAATTTAGCTACTGGTAGACCTGTATTAAACCTGTTACATACACCTCTAATCTCATATATCAAAGCAAAATTATTTAGGGTGGAATAGTGATAAACTTGTCTTTCACATTCCTCCTAGGATAGTAAAAGTGTAAAAATTACTTTCCTTTTTCTGATTATTTTTGTGGCCTATGCGAAATTAATTTGACATTCATCTCCATTTCCAGATAGGTATTCCCACTGTGTATGCTTTCTGCACCTCTTTTCAGATTCATATTTTGTTATTCTTTTTGAACTTACAAAATGATGTAAGAGTGGAAGAGGCAGTTGTTCCCCTAATGGATAATTCTGCTTGGAGTTAAAAAAAGGGGGGAAGAGGGGTGGGGGGAATACAAGCAGTGCTGGGAAAGCATAAACATACTCTTTATATTCTTCACTAGGGAATATTTTGGCATTGTATCCCAGAGCCAGTTTGCTGTCCATTTTTCTGACATTAACTTATTACAGTTTAAATGACAGCTATTTAACAAAGTTTCAACCGGGTGTCCTCTATGCTTTGAAATATCTAGGGAAATAGTTACCTAATGATATGGGGCATCATCAAAATCCTTGTTTTACCTGGTTTAGATTTATAATTGAGATGATTTATAGAAGAATCCACAGTGAAACTTAACCTGACCTGAAAGTTAATTAGATTACCATGGGTATTATGTCCTATTCTCAGTCTTTGCAAACAGCCAGGTTAAAAACCACACAGCTGGTAATCCTGTAATTAGTAATGTAAGAACTTTCATAAGTTGTTTCTTGTCTTTTCAGTCCACGGCAACTGTCTTCTAACCACTCTCACTTTGCCTTGTAATGTGTCCCAGAAATAGTGGTTGGAAGTGGCCTCTGGAAGTCATCTGGTCCATCCTCCCTCTAGAAGCAGGATGGCTGCCAAAGCAAGATCAGCCATGGCTTTGTCTGGTTGACTCTTGAAAACCTCAAAAGATGGAGATTTCCCATTCTGATTTACTGTGGTAGTTTGCAAGGTAACGTGAAACAAAACCTGTGAAATATCTTCAGAGTTTGACTCTTAATGTTTCTGAATCAGATTTTGGCAGCCGTTGCCTGGCAGAGAAGCTGCGTTCTATGAAAGATTATTGCAGTACGCTGTAAAGGTGGGGTTCACATCACCTAATTTTAGCTACATATGAATTAGGTACTTAGTTTGTTAACTGAGGAATCTCCCTCTATAATCGGTGTAAAGAAGTCCCTCCAAAAGACAACATCTCCCACTTGGGGATGGTTGGGATGACTCATTCCCAGGAAGAGCCTTTTCCCCACTGTTTTCAGGGAGGGTCCCATTTCCATTTGGTGTCAGACTTTCTTAGATGACTTTGGTCAAACGCGGGACATTCTGTCCCCACTGGAGCAATGCAGCATGGGGACTACACCCACAACTTTGTTCAAGTGGGAAATCATTGCAATTAGCAAATAGCGCAAAAAACCCCGTGAGGCAGAACATCGACTGACAACCATAGGTATCGGTGCCTTCTCCAGTGTTTCCCTCATGTTCTTCCTTCATTTTCTGTTTTGGGGGTTTTTGTTTATTTGGCTGTAATGATTTTGCCTTGGTCATCATGCTGCCGTATTTTTTTTCTGGTTGCAAAGGGGTAATGAATTGCTTTGTATTTATTTGGATTCTCATATTTTCCCAGGATTATCTTGGCTTGGAAGAGGGTGACTCAAAGATTTTTGTTGTTGCTGTTGGATTTTAATTTTCTTTTCTTGTGGATGTGAGTTATGCAAACACTTAGGGGAAGAAAGAGCATTGTGATGTGGCTGATAGAGGAAAAGTTTTGCAAGCAGCAGTTTATTGCTTAGGGTGCCTGTGGGGACTGCATGGTTATGCAAACCAGTGCCCCAAAGGGGAAACATCCTGTCATTCCTTGAGCAAAACACGAACAGCAGATAGAGGCACAGGCACGGGCAGCACTGCTTTAGAGCCAAAAGCTTCCTTAACTACAAACTTAAAAGCATATTGTTTTGATTCCCTCTCTTACTCTGCCAGCAGAGAGGTGGTAAAGTCGCTTCCTGATGGAACAACATAGGAAAGTATATATTTTGCTGCTCTTACTACCTTTGATCTTTTGTTGGTTCTTCAGGTTCACTTAAATTGCCTATACCAAGATAAAAAAGAATCTGACCTTTCTGAATTTAGTTCCTCTACTGCTGTTGCATGGAGGTTGCCTGAGAATGGATCTTTTTCTGTCTGGAGTCTGTAAAGTGGCTCACTGTGTGTTATGAGGCGTCTTGGGAGATTCTGTAACATTTTTCTCCTCCTTTAAGATTTAAGTCTGCCGATTTAGTCAGTGATGATGGCATTGAAAGAGGCTGTTAGTACACGTTTTCCTAAACATCAAGTTAAATAATCTGTTTTAAACTTTACCAAATACAGTATGTTTCCGAACAATTGTGCTAAAGTGCGTGTAGCCTTCTCTGATGGATGTGATGTTTGTACTTGCTGGGCCCAAGCTATCTGCATTCATACGCACCTTGGGAACAGTACGTAAGGTCGCTCTGATGCCTTGCAGGACCCTGAGGATGCTGTGCCTGTTGGACAGAGGAGGGCCTGGTGCTGGTGCATGTGTTTCGGATTGGCGTTCATGCTGGCCGGTGTGATCCTGGGTGGTGCCTACCTCTACAAATATTTTGCATTCCAGGTAAGTCAAATACATTTTGTTATGGAGGATTGTGTTTTTCTCCGTTACACTTATGTTTAGAAGAGGAGCAACAGGCTAAAGCAGATAGCCTTGCTGCTCCCATTTTTATCTTTCTAAACCTTCAGCTTTCCTAAAGGCAAAGCGTATGGCCTGCTCTAAAGTTACCTATTGGCAAAGGAGGGCATGAGTGAAGCTGGCAAATAAAAGGGAGCAACATTTTTTGAAACCTTACTTTGCAGAGAAAGTATTATATATCTAAATAGGACTTGGGTTTAGGAACTCCAGCGGTGCCCCAGATTTTCACCTGCTCTCTCTCCTGCTCTGCAGTGCTGAATACTGGAGGTACATTAACCCCTTGAAAGCCTCCTTGTTTGAACCCAGATTTCCTAGAGGCGTGAGGTACTGCTCAGGCACCAGAAAGGGACTGCTTGTCAAAGCAGTGCAGTGCCTCTCCTCCTTCCTAGCCTCCACAGAGATAAGAAAAACAGGCCCCGCAGGGGACTTGCAGAAGCACAGTCACCGTGGTTAAACATGCTCTGTCAAGTCTAATCCACACTGACAAGATTAGACCTCTGACAAAATGCATTTTCAGTCTTTAACAAATGGCACTGCTGTAGGAAGAGCCCTGTGATGCCAGGGGAGTGGAGCATTTACCTGAAACATGGGAGATCCGAGTTAAACTTCAGTTGTCTTCCTTGGGGGGAGTTGTCACTGAGCAGTGGTGGATGTGCTGGGCTGTTGCTCAAGCATTGCAAGCACATCCTCCCTCCTCTGGAAACTGCTGGGGTTGCAGGATCACAGGGTCAGAAAGTGAGAATATAAGCACAACGTGAATCCCTCTAGCCCCCTGGTTGGTGCACGTAATTATAAGGTAGAAATTCTGTGTTCTTGTCGCTGCTACCAGGATTATTTTTTTTAAAACCATTTTAGTAGCTGCTAATGTAGAAGGCAGAGTGATCAAACATGGGAAATTCTAGCTGAACTTGCAGTTCATAGCCTTGTTGGCTATCATGTTAACCCAATTTATAGGGGAGCAGTAGCGTTGCAAATGATACTTAATCCACCAAGATACACTGTGTGGTGTTATTAACACGTCTCATCCATGCTTAGCACCGCAGTGCTCTACCTTTCTCATGCCAGCCAGCTGAAATTGAAAGTGCTGTTTAATTCAGACCTGTGGTTCTTGTTCATGAGTCAGATCTGGGTTGAAGGAAACATTTGGGAATTGAGCTAACATTACGCTGAAGACATGTTTTCAATGTAGGACTTAAAATTGATGGTATATGCATATGTATAGGTAGTATGTTTATAAGACTGTCTGGCCTGTAAATTTAGTGTATGACTTCCTGTGACTCAGGACCTTATTTAACACTTCACGTAGGTAACTTGTCACGTGTGCTGTGATGGAAGGACACAAACTGGTTGTTCTAATTTCTTTTTATTACCTTTCGTCTTTTAAAACTGTTCAAAATAATTTATTTTAGAAACTGACTTTCAAAAATTCTGAAGCCTTGCAAAACTAAGCAACTTAATTGAGCTGTGAAGGAAACTCTTGAAGTCATCTGGTCCACTCCTCTTTGCTGCAAGCAGAACCAGATTTAGAGTTAGACTTGCTTTTTAAAGGCGATCTGGTTGACCAGTTTCAGTGTCATAACTTGTAATTATTGACTGTAGTTGATAATATTAATAGCAACAACAACAATAATATTTTAATGTATTTAGATGTAGGAACTTCATTATCTTTCTAAATATAAGATGCAGTGGGCCACAGATAATGGATGCAAAATAGCAGACTGGATTGTAAGAACCTGCTTTGGGGATCCTGTTTTCCTTGAATTCAAGGGAAGGACTCCCTCTGGGTTCAGTACAGTCAAGGTTTTACCCATGGTCCTGTTGTTGACAGCAACTGGCTCCTACTTTGGTGTATGAATCAGATTAAAGGAAAACCTTTTCATCTGGTCTGACAAGTTTTTCTTCTCCACAGCGCTTGGAGAATACTTGTTTTAAACTTCTAACAGGACTACTGATGTTTTGTTGCTGAGCTGTTTACTATTTTTAGCAGGGTGGTGTGTATTTCTGTGGAATAAAGTACATTGAAGACGGCTTAAGTTTACCTGAGCCTGGGGCAGAGGCTCAGAGTGCTCGCTACCACACGATTGAGCAAAATATTCAGATCCTGGAGGAGGAAGATGTTGAGTTTATCAGCGTGCCAGTCCCTGAGTTTGCCGATAGCGATCCTGCTGATATCGTCCATGACTTCCACCGGGTATGAAATATTTCACAAGAAGTTGAAAGCATTTTGAACTTGGAAAATGTTCCCCCTCAGTCATGCTGATAAATGTACTATCTAATTATTGTGGTGGGGGAAAGTGGAGGAGGCAGCAGAAATGTTTTGATCAGCAGCAGGCTGCAAGCAATTATTAACTGGGCATACAAAGTACAGCGTTATACAGTCATCGTGAGGTAGTTTGTAAACCACCGTTTGCAAATACGTGTCTGTTTTTAGAAAGAGAACAATCTGAGAGCAGTTTCCTTTCCTTGGTATGAGGAAGCAAAGAGTGTAGTTCTTGCCGTGCTAAGTCCACTGAGCCAGAATTGGACCAACTGCTGCGGTGCCAAGGGAAGTTCAGAAAGAGCTGTCACAGCTCTGACCTCAGCTTGCAGGGGCCGGTGGCGTCTGACATCTCTTGGGATGTTCAGGCACCCCCAGAGGTTGCTGTGGTAGCACAGCTCAGAAACCCCAAAGCAGCAGCAGAAAGGGAAGGAAGCACTGAGCTGACAGAGCGTGGAGGAGAGCTCGTTTTCCAGGTGCTGTGGGAAACCTGGCAGGGGCTAAATTTTCCTTGTGCAGCACAGGCTACTGTGATTCATAAGGGCACTGAACCAGGGTTTTGAAGCATTTTTAGCTGTTTCTTCCTTCTTTTTTTTTTTTTTTTTTTTTTGTAGAAACAACTTTGATTGCTAGGAATTGTGGTAAAATTTTTTTTGGTGTGGCAGTTGACAGGCCTACAGCTCTTGGTATTAACACCAGCTGTAAAACAATTAGAAGCCCTTCTTTTCTGTATCAGCCTGATGGAAGCTGTCTGATAGCGAAGAAATGTGCTACAGCTGATTTTCAGGAAGCTGAATTTCTGTGAACATTTGAATACTTGGCTGAACAGCTTTTTTTAAGCAAGGCTGAAAAAGAAGAATAGGGAAGCATCCTATTTTTTTCTGTAAACTTCAGAGTTTGAAGTTTTCCAGGCAAAATGAGTGCTATCTATCAAATATTCATAACCAGATTTGGAGGAAAACACGGGTTGCTTGAGCTATGTCATTTTAAAATATTCTTGAATATATTTATGGAGCTTCTGTGAAGAGTTAGAGCGAAGCCTCTAAAGAGGGAAAACCAGGAAAAAAAAAAGAGCAGTGTGTAAGAAGTAAAGAGGAACAATATAATATTAGACATTTACTTTTTGATTTAATGAGTTAAAAGCTTTGCTCTAAAGGTCAGTGCAAAGATCATTTGCCATAGACACAGCACTTACTCCCATGTAATGGGATTAGTTGCACTGTTGGTTGCTGTCCTATCGCTGTTTTGACTGTTGGGCGCTTGGTGCTCAGTATTTTATATACATCTGCAGCCGTAGAGCTTTTAGCAGCTTGAGATGATGTTGTCTTTAGCAGGAACAGATGCAGTGAAACACAGTTCAGTGAACAGAGCGATAGGATTCATCAGGATAATTCCCTGGGCTTTTATATCTCTGTTTTTTATCAAATAATAGCAAATATTGCAGTTCAGGTACCACAAAGATAATAATTCAGCTATGAATACAAGTCAGTAATATTTTTGAAAATAAAAGGATTTTTTGTTGTAGTATCTGTAACAGCATTTTTTTCCTTCTGTCTTTTCTTCTTACCAGCAGCATTTCCCCTTTATGCTATTACAAAATACAAAAAGCGTGGAGATTAGAGCAAGGTTTTTGCCCTGTTGTTTCAAAATGCAGGCACTAGAAATAAATAAATGCTGTACTTGATTCCCTAACAGCTCAGCTACACCTTTGTAATTTCGTTACTGTAGTGCATTTGAGCTACTTAGCACCTGCTGCCTTCCACAAATCCCTGTCATAGATTTAAACCCTCATCAGGACTGCCTTTTATTTCTGCATTTACCTACCCTCAAATTGGAGTTTGACTGACTTCACAGTGAACAAAACAATAATTTTTTGAACAACGCAAGGCAATACCAGTTTAGCAAAGTCTGTGTGTGAATTTTCTGATGTTCTTGCTAAATAAAATTGTAAAATAAATATTTCCTCAACAGAGACTCACGGCCTATCTTGACCTTAGCCTGGATAAGTGCTATGTGATTCCTCTGAACACTTCAGTTGTTATGCCACCGAAAAACTTCCTGGAGCTGCTCATCAACATCAAGGTATGGTTAAATCGTAAGTAATTTGTTCTAGAGATGGGGAAAAAGGAGATTTCCTCCCCTCCTCCCCCCAGAATGCCGACATTCACATGAGGTGCATGTGTAAGAAAGTTAACTGATCACTAGAGGTCTTTGCAAAGAGAGAAAAAAATCTGAAACCTTAGTTAATTAACTACAATCATGAAGGAATTATTAATTCAGATGAAGACAAACAAACCTGATTTCATTCTTTGATGCTACAAATTTGACTGACAAAGTTGTGTAATACTGTGTACCTAGACTCTTTGATAGCAGTCTGTGTTTTGTAATTTCTAATCCATCATAACTAAAGTTTCTGTAAAGTGTGTGTGCGCCGGACTAAGACCGGTTAGCTGAGAGGCTTAAAGTAGATATAGTGGGAAATCCTTTTAACATGGGCATTGTTTAAAGCGTAGGTCCCTAGGGCTGGCCCCTACTTCGAACTGATCCAGTAGCGTGAGGGTGTTGTACGTGAGGTGTGTTGAATCCCCTGTGTGTGCTCAGGGAAATCAAATGTGATAGCACTGGATGCAAGTTCATGAGGCTTCCAGCCTGTTTCCAGATTTGTTTGATAAGCAAAGCCCATTTAAGCCAGGGTTTTTTTTTTTTAGTTTAGTTCCTGGTTTTGCGAGCACCAGACCTTCAGAATGAGATACGTTGTCCTTAAAAACAAGGACTGGGCAAAGGACTGAGATACCACAATCGCTGAACAACCGAATGTGAGTTTTCAGTATGATGTTGTGGGAGCTCCTAATCACTTCCCAGCAGGGTTTGATAATTGAACACTACTGCCGGGCTTGTGGTGCTGGTGTCGGCTGGCTTGTCACCACCATGGGGACATGCTGTTCTCTTAGCGATAGTAACTGGGTGCAACGTAATGGCCTGTGAAATTGAGGAGGCCAAAATAGATAATGTAATGGGGATTCGTACTAATTTAAGGTGAATCATCGTTTGTTTGGTTTTTTTTAGTTGTTTGATTTCTTTTTTTTAAACACTCGCATATGTGTGCTTTAAAGGAAGATTTAAATAGTATTTATCTTGGTTTTCAGTCTTCCAGTTTCTTTGTAGAACAGCAAAACACTCCGGGTGGGGAAGAGAGCTGATAAACTAACCCATGTCTAAGACTTGGGGAGAGTGTTTTAAATTTTACTGGGCTTTTGCAACTTTAGAATTGTTAATATCATCTTTGGGTTTGCATCTTTCAAACAAGGCTTTGGAATTAGGACTCCAGGAACCATTTTAGCCATTTCTGAGTGGTTCATGTATATAAATAAATTTCATGTGAAAAATTACTTCACAAGTAAGTCCTCTGCTGCTTTTTTGCTGCCTATTTTGAGCCTGGCTATTTAACCACGCTTTCATTTCCTGTACATGAGGATGAGGTGTGGTGTCTGTAAAACTCAGTGACCCCGTATTTTTTTACTTTGTTGTATGCTCTTTGTTTCCATTTCTAGTTCACACAAATTCCACTGTTAAAATCTGTGAATTTCCTAGTTTGTCATCAGGACTAAATTAAATACGCTTGGTTTACAAGTAAGAGGATAACCAGGCATCATGCATTTAATTGAAAAATCTGTGCAAAAGCAAACTGTTTTGATCATTGTCCCCAACAGTGAGTGCCCTAATTTTATAAGACATCTGTTTAATTCTCATTGTGTTAACAAAAAGCTGTGGGCATTTGATGTCTCAGAAAATCAGGCTAAATGTTTTGTAACTGAAATTTGGGAAGCTATTCTGCAGCTGCACAAAGTGAGTAAATTTCTCTTCACTGTCCTGCAGTCACACTGGTTGCATGAGGAAAAAAATATGTGAAATTAAAGTGCCTGTTTCATTAAAATGAGTTCTGAATGCATTCAAAGGGCATTTTATGAAAATGGAGTTGCTTTGAGCTGTTTTGCATTAAAAAATAAAGCCATAATTTTAGCCCGAAGAACCAGATTTCTGTATATTGATACAGTTTGCTTGAATATGCATGCAGTGAAAGGCCTCCTTTCCTTGGGCAACAAGGCTGAATCCCAGGTATATTTGTTCATCCACCTCATTCCTGTTGTTGAGCCAGCTGGCAAATTTTAACCATATGTGATGCACAGGACATCTCAAAGCTGACGATACTTGCAGCTGTGCTGGATCCCAGTGCAGGGTAATTGCTCCTGCACTGAGCAACTCCTTCTCCTGCACTCCCTAGAAAGGCTGAGGCCAGGCTCAGGGGGTGGTCCAGGGGGTCCCAGGAGGTTCTGCAGTTTGGAGGGCATGGGCCCAGGAGTGTCTTCGCAGGCTGCCCCAAGTCCTCAGCACCACTGCCCGCCCTGCCAGGGCCCTGCATTGCTGCTATGCTCTGAGGCGCTCTCCCGAAGTTTGAGAGACCAGGGGTTATGATACAGTAATTTACAGTGATTTAATTACCAAATAATGAGTGGGATAATTTGGGAGTGTGAAGTCTTCCAAGCTCTTATTTAAAGAAAAAAAGTTGCCATTGCTTTCCTTATAGTGTGTGCTGAAGAAAATTCTCATAATTTGAAGTGAATTTTATACAGTCCTTACTGAAAAGAATAGCACTGAAATCAGCTTCTTCTCAACATGTCTCTTGGACTGAAGAGACAGTGCTGTTTTGCAATGGAAATTTCAAGTTGTTTATTGTCAATAAAAAATACAGTGTTCCTTCGCCACAGAAGCTGAATTTATTTCCATAATAAGTGATCATATTGTTTTCAGAAAGCAAGCAACACCTTCTCTAATGCTGTAAATAAGAATCATGCCAACAGAATTTCTTACACAAAGTAATGTTTCAAAAAAGTTGATGATTATTTACCAGTGGCAGTATTGGGAAACTGGCTGATGGCTAAGTACGTGCATCTGGTTGTCTGGAGAGGTGGTAGGTACCCTATGCTTGGTAAAGTTCAAGATCAGATTGGATGGGGCTCTGAATGACCTGATCTAGTTGAAGATGTCCCTGCTTATTGCAGGGGGGTTGGACTAGTTGACCTTAAAAGCTCCTTCCAACCCAAACCATTCTGTGATTCTGTATTTTTCAGTGTATTGCCTTAAAATACCCGATACCACAGAATCACAGCATGGTAGTGGTTGGAAGGGACCTCTGAGGATCATTCAGTCCAACCCCCTGCCAGAGCAGGATTACCTAGAGAAGATCACACAGGAACACGTCCAGGCAGGTTTTGAATGTCTCCAGAGGAGACTCCACAACCTCTCTGGGCAGCCTGTTCCAGTGCTCTGTTACCCTTACAGTAAAGAAGTTTTTCGCATATGTTTAAGTTGAACCTCCTGTGTTCCTGTTTGTGACCACTGCTCCTTGTCCTGTCACTGGGCATAACCGAGAAGAGTTGGGTCCTATCCTCCTGACACCCATCCTTTTAGATATTTATAAGCATTAATGAGATCCTCCCCCCCATCAGTCTTCTCTTCTTGATATACCTCTCCTGATGGATATACCACCATGATTTTCTAATACCTAATATAAACAGTTGTGGTGACAGAGTCACCATAATAACTTATGGAGGCTAGATGGTCTCGTCTTGCATTTGGCTTGAGAGTTGTGAGCTGGTGGGCTTCATCAGCAAGGATATCTCCATGTAGAGCATGCTTCTGCCAGCTCCTGTTGGGGAGCACTTCCCACTGAGCTCTGTTGGGCTGTTATTAATTAAATGAAAATTTGGATGATAAGTGCAGGACTGATCTGTGACAGTGGGTGCTCCTGGAAGGAAAGAGTTCTCTGCTGAAGACTGACATTACTGTAGCAGGAGACTGGTGGACGCATGCATCCATAGAAGTTTTGTGACCTTTTTGAATATAATCATTACATATTTCTGTAGTGCATTGCAGTCATGTTTCACATTTAGAATAAAATTCTGTGGGTAGTGCACATTTTGAAAGCAGATATGTCACAGCCGTGTTAAAGAAACACATTGCAAAGTGTTGTGTACTTAGACCACAAAGAGATGGCTTTTGACAGAGCTGCTATGTTTTTGTTCAATAGGCTGGAACGTATTTGCCTCAGTCCTATTTGATTCATGAGCAGATGATTGTTACTGATCGCATTGAAAATGTGGATCAGCTGGGATTCTTTATTTACCGCCTCTGCCGTGGCAAGGAAACCTATAAACTACAGCGCAAAGAAGCCATGAAAGGTAAATGCTCCTCCTGTGGTCTTTTGTGTTGGCAGAAATTTCAGTGCCGCTTGACTTCAATAAATAGGCTTGATGGTGTTGAAAGGAATGACTCTGATTAAAGCCGGCATTGGTTATTGCAGTGCCCAGCAATGTGGGCTTAAGTACATCTGATACTTTCTGTGTAGGTATGGAAATAAGTCATTTTATTGAGCAAAAGTGAGCTAGGAGCTGCTGAAACGTGTGTGCACACATGGGTGTGTTTTCTGTGGTTCAGGCTTTCAGTGATGCTTTTCTTTAATCTTGCTTCTTGACCCAACACCTCTGAAACTAAAAAAACACCAAAACCCTTTAATATATGAGAAGCCATAGCCTGGTAGTCCAAGTACAGAATTGGAGGTTCTTGTTGTCGTTAAAGCCAGCTATAAATTAGCCCACATCTTCCTATTTGCATCAGTGAAATATGCATAAGAATTATCTTCACGTGAGAATTATAGTGCTTGTTACTCCTTCATGGAAAATGCTTGAAAAAGATAATTTGGAAGAGTCTTGACAAGCTATTAAATACTGCCTTAAAATTTTAAATTTTCACTCAAATTTTACTTAGAATTGCCTTTTTTAAAAAAAAAAACACCTGCATGCGATGTGCAAGTACACCCTGAAGCAGTTTAATTGCTTCAGTCACATTGTTGGGCCTGACTGCTTGGGAAAACAAGGAAAAGGAATACATTTTTATAGAAATAATTTAGAATAATTAGAAAAATTTAAAGGTCTCAATTGCAAAATCCAATTCAAACTTTGGTATGTTGATCCTGTGGTAATAAATGTTGAGCATAGGTTGGCAGTGAGCATTCGTATGACTAAAATTTGGTTAAACTCTGTCTTTCTCCAGTTCTCAGATGTTGTTACTTAAATACGACAAGTCTCCTATTTTTTGCCTGTAGTGGTTTGTTCCCTCACTCCTGTCCCCGCAAGCGTTTTTATGGATGCACAGAGAGGGAGATTTGGAACTGCTCTGGGTTAAAACTGGCCAGTGGGGCGTTTTGGCCAGGAAGTCGGGTTTAGCTAAACCAGTACTGCGACTTGGTTCTCCACACCTTCAGGATTATTGCCTGTATGAATGTGTGCCTGTGTGTTTCCTCAGAGAGGGATCGAAAAGGGGTAGGTCTGATTTCTGGTGACAAATGTAACACTATTACGCCTCTGATGTACCTCATCCCCTCCTCTGTTCACCTCCTGTTGTTCTTTACCAACATAAACAGGAATTCAGAAGCGTGAAGCTGTCAATTGCCGAAAGATTCGACACTTTGAGAACAGGTTTGCTATGGAAACACTCATCTGTGAACAGTAAGGAGGCATATTACTGTTACAGGAGACTTCAGATCTACCGTATGACCCCACCCTTTGTATTGTGTGCAGTGATTATTTTACAAGATCTTCTTTTATGTAAGTAGTGAACAGGGCTTTATTGCTGAACACTTTCCATACTTTTCATCTCATGATACATGTAAAATCAGTATGTTTTAGGGTTTCTTTTTTTCCTTATTTTCAGGTGTGGTGTTCTTATATTTGAATAGCAGTTGTATAAAGACTTAGTTGCTAGTGCATTTCATGTGATGAATCTTGAATACTAGGAAAAAGAGAAAGTCTTTGAAATATCCACCAGTTTTTAATTAAGTAAAACTGAAAAGAATTATTAATGTACAAACGGACTGCAAGAGCTACTTCTAACTGTAATATTACCTGCTATATAGTTTGTTACAGCATATAGACAGACCTGTATTTACTCGCCCTAACAAAGTGCAATTTGTTTTGTTTTTAAAATATTGTCATATTTACCTTTTTAGATTGATTTCTGACTTGATGTTTTAAAATGGCTCCTGTTTGCTGTAACAATCTTTTAGAAGAATAAGAAGTAACTTAAGTTACTAACTTGTATATAATCCTTGTATGTGCAATGGAAAATAAATCTTACAAACCTGTTTGTCTAAAAGTTCTTGTTTGTTCTTTTGCTCTTACTGTGGGGTTGGTTGAGTTTTTTTGAGGAGGAGGGGACTACAGTTAAATTTAAAGTTAAAATTACATGCAGGACTTCACATTTCCCTCTGTTCAGCTTTGTGGCATTTCTGTCAGCCCCTGCCCTTGAGCTTTGCCAGTTCACCTGGGGCCAGCTCAAATATCGCTAACAACATCCTGCATTGTGCCATTTACACTTTAAACTGCTGTTCTTAAACAAGTTTGAATGTTGTTACATGACAGTGACTTTTGTAGGGGAGAGTGCAGAATAAGATGTATCATAGTACCTGCTGTTTTGAAGCTGGTTCCAAGAAAAATTGTGGGAGAAAAAGTGAAAAATATTTAATTGGAAAATCTCCCCCAAAATCCGCTTCTGTGCTTCCGTGATACAGGAACTGACTTGTCTTTCTGAGCAAATTTTGAGCATTGATTTATCAGGAAAGTAGGAATGTTTCATAGAACATTTGCATATTTGTTTGCAAAAACCCCACTGTTTAAACTGATTTTTAAGTAAGTGCATTATAGGTGTCCAGGTCTTTTGTCTTAGGTTTCAAGAAGTTTTGGACTAATCTTAATCTTTTAAAGGATCTTTTTTTAATATAGTGGGAGGATGCTTTACTGGTTTTGGAGCTATTATACAATTATAAACATGCTGTCATCCAGCTTCCTGCTATTGTGAATGTTTGGATTGAGATAAAATAATTTGTTTTAAAGGAAGTTTCTTAAATGCACAATACTTTTTTTTCTTTTTTTTAATCTGCATTTGGCTTAATTTACAGTTTAGCCTCAGTGTAGATGTGTTCTATATACGATGAAAAGTCTAATTGTTACTTTGCAAAAGCTGGACTTTTTTAATCCATTCTTGCTGGTGCATGGCAGTCATGAACATCAAATAAAGCCTCACGTAGATACAGGTTAGCTGCTCATGTATGAATTACACTTGCATAGTTATACATATAGATGTAAGGAAGCTGAAAAAGCTGCTGGGAAAAGTTCAGCTACAGATACTCAGGATGTTGCAGTTGTGTGCTTACAACAAATGTCAAATATGCGTCAGGACAGGGTCACTGCTGTGTTCTTTGGAGCCCAGTATGAGGTGAGATTCATGCTCAAGTACTTACAAACACATTTCCTACCTTTTGATGAGTGTATCATTCCTGTTTTCTGCAAGTTAAACATGAAACTTGTTAATTTTTAAGTAACCCTTGCATTGTCTTTAACGTGCTTTCAAAATAAAAGAAACTGTGTGATCTGTGGTGTGTCCTTTGACGGAGACTCCAGCAAATGAAGCTGCTGAATGGGAAAATAGATTTTATAGGCAGGTTTATATGATCATGCTGCATGCCTGTGTCCCTAATAACTTTTGAGCCCGTTGGATGGCAGAAGGACATTTATTTCTGTCAGTAGTTTGAAAATGAGTGTGGGGAAGGAGGAAGAGACTTGAGTGCACTGAGAGAAAGCTCCCAGCATGCATTCACATCATATTATGTGGCAGGCAGTTTGTATGGGAAGAAGACCTAAAACACCTTGAGTGCTGGAAAAGCTCCCATTGGATCTTCTGCCCTCTTAGACAAAGTTGATGAAATATGGGACACTAATCCATGGAAAAAAAAAACCAGCTCTAGGAGCTGCTTGGGCTTTATTTTTTTTTTAAATTTAAAAATAGTATAAAAAAAAACCCATAGCTGTGCTGTACTGAATGAAACCACATTTCTAGCCCAGTGAATTCCAGAAAAGGGTGAGCAGAAAAACTACCTCATTGGAAAATTATCTTTGTAAATATTTTTAAAACTCCTCATAAGAGGGGAAAAAAAAAAGAATCCTAATGCTCAGCTGCACTTTGTCATGGAAGTAGCAAAATAAAAACCTGCCACTGTCCTGTGCCACCATGTTTATTTGGGCATGTGTGTTGCTCTCTCCTGGGTCCCAAGCAGCCTCTGATGTTCAGTTGGCCTTCACATGTGTAAAGCTGTTGTCACCGGTTGATGTGTATGATCTGGACTTGCAAAGCGTGATAAGCTCTAAGTCTTCCCTCCTCCTCTAATTGAAGTCTTGCAGCTTTAGTAAAGAGCCATGGGGCAAGCTCTGGCGTGAAGAAAATACTGAGGATTTGCAAGACACAAAATGCAAGAGTTTGGATATCTGGCACAAGGAGAAGCTGCAGGGTTACCTGAAGCAATGTGCACAAGATGTGTTGCACTTGCAGAGAAAAAAAGGAGGGTCTGGATTAATTTGTTTGAGGAAGATTGTGGCTGGATCAGTACCATGGAAGCCAGCAGAGGTTTATCAAAGCCATCTATTGAGAGCGGTGGTGTCATCTGGAAAGGTGGGTACACGCTTTTTGTATGAATTGGGTGGGAGGATGATGGTCTGACACAGCTGTGTTAGCAGAAGCCTGTGTGGTTTAGAAATACTAGAGCTGTACTCTTACTGATGGTGTTCTAGTAGTAGGAAGATACTTTATTGCTTATGGGGGAAGCAACATAGAACAACATAGCGTTGTTTTCATGCTATGAGTTTTGCTGGAATACTATACACAAGTGTGTTCACCTAACTAGGGTATTTCACTGCTATGCCCTGGTAAACAATGTCATCATCTGAAAACCAAGATCCCAGGTAGATTTAATTCAAATTCCTGTCTGTTCACTATAGGCTACAGTTGCTAATTTTCAGTTGGTTTTCAGGTTGCCTGTTAAAATTGATTCCTGAGAGGTACTTCCAGTAAAGTGTATTCTGCTGCTTGTGGGCTTAGGAAATCTTGGAATGGGAGTCATGGGAAACATCCTCGCTGTCAAGACAGCCAGCAGCAGGACAGGGTGTTGCCTGTACTAGAGCACACTTTCTCACATGGAGAAAGGAAGCAGAACCTGGAACCGAGCAGGACTGGAAGGGAGGGATCACAGTAGGGTCATTAACGTGGTCGTGTAATTGCAGGCAACAAGAGAGTTGTGGTTTGTTTGCTGAGTTTTATTTAATTATCAGCTGTACCAACCCAAATGAACTGCCCATTAGAGACGGCATAGGTGCCTTGCACACCCGAGGAGCAGAATATGCTTGGGGTTAGAAGTGCTTTTCCTGCAGCAGACGCATAGAATGGTATCTGCGTGACAAAGGGCATGGTCTGATGCAGCTGTGCATCAAAGGCATGTTTTAGACCAATGTCCGGGCATGTTCCACAAGCAAGGAAAGCTGTAACAGGAATTATTTGGGGTTTTTTCTGATGTAATTGCACATGCACTAAGTCTTAAAATCCCTGACAGGCAATTTATCAAATTAGTTTTTAGTACCCTGGTCCTCAATGCTAGCACAAATCTGGGGGTTAGCATATAGGTGTCATATACGTGTAGATGTTTCTCCACCCAGCAACAATGGCCATAGTATCCTTTCAGATCCCCCTAACAATTTGGTCAAGCCCTTTTATTGATAGAAATTCCTGCCTTAAACTCAATACTGCAGTATCTGAGACTCCAGCATTGCACTGTTTTGCTCTGAGCAAGTCACAGATGTGTATAAATGCGCAGTGAAAATACTGTATTTATTAATAATATGTATATATACAGAGGGGCTTTGAACTGTTAGAGGAGGCAACATCTAACAAATACCTCTCTGTTTAGAGAGAAATGTGTTGAGGTTTGTCATGGTCTCTATGGATTTACATCACTGTAGAACTACTTTTAGAAATGGTTTTTATCCTTTGAGCCTTTATGTAGGAGACAATGATGTTAGGAGCCAGGCACAAACCGCAGGTTAGTGGTTTCAGTGTGTACATTTGTCACGCATCTCCAGAAGAACTGATTTTATTATAATTGTAACTTAGGTAGTAGAGGTCTGTGATAATGTAGAAATAAGCAGCTAGTCTTGGTAGATCATGAGGTACGCTTAAATCAAATTTTCCCATCACAAATATTTCATTTTTATGAAAACTGAAAAAGTAGCAAGCTTCTATTATAGCTGAGAAGTTAGGAGTCAAAAGAAAAAAGCTCAGTTTCATTTGCAGTGAAAGCTTCACTTCTATTCCCACCGGCAATTACCATGAAACTATAGCAACAGTTCTAAGTGAAAAAATTAAGATAATAAATACTTAAGATTGTGTTAGCAGCTGGAAACAATGATTCAGGACTGGCTGACTGGGCAGTGTTTCACAGACCACCATCTGTCTGTGACTTAGACTTTAAAAGCTGTCATAGCAAGGTGGTTAGAATGAAGATATTGTCAGGTAAGATGAGAAATTATCATTAATACTTTATTTGACCTTGCAGTGTTTCCTTTGTTGGTTATTTCCCCCCCCTCCAGTAAGAGCTGCTTTTCCTCTTCCATTTGTCATTTTATTCCAAAAGCCTAAAGGCTCCATTTAAAATAAAACATATTTTAAAATACAGAATTAAAACATTCAAATCAGTATACCTAACAAAGGGGGGGAAAAGGGCAGCAATTTCCATACGGTTTTACACATGCATGTGCCTTTCTTTGTCAGTACATACGTGCGCATTAGGTCGTCTTACTGCAGTTTCGATGTAGTTACTATATCTGAGGCTCCAGAAGGGAGCATTAAAGGTTATTGTTGCTCGATTCATCTGCTGCCTCCCTTCTTCTCCTTTCAGTTGTAACTTGAAGCATTCTGAGATTTTATTTTGGTTGTACCTGCTTATGGAGAGGAGCACTAAGTGCCTTGCTTCGTAAAAAAGTGCGTAAAATTTGACATGAGAGGATGCTTGGCACACTAACACTTTTAGAAATGAAGGTGCCTGTGAACTCTTTAAAAGGATCTGATGTTCCCTCAGCATTAATGCCCAGGGGGTTATGAAAGCCACACAAATTCTTTGTCTATCATCTGGATGATCTAAGGCCGGGCTCTAAAAGCATGTTAAAGCAGCCGTGAGGGAACCTACCCCAGAGGGTGTGTTTCCTTCTTGCTGACAGCTGGGAGGGTCTCCACTGGCTCTGACCAAGTTTTCTGAGATGCTTTGCTCTCATTCT